TGTGTGTGTGTGTGTGTGTGTATGTGTGTGTATAGACAGTGAAGAGTTGTTATGTTAATGTAATGTGTCATAATAGACCCATTCTCCCTGCATATCAACTAGATGGAAATCAGCTCCCTTGTTCTGTGTCTCACACTAAAACAAGCACCGTGCACCAAACGGACAGCTCGAATTCTGGGGAAACGAAACCAAACTGTTGAATAACACACTCTTCGTTGTGTTATTAGGAACACCTAGATAAATCTCAACCTTACTATGTAAAGTGCATTGAGACAATATGTATTATGATTTGGGGCTATACGAATAAAATGTAATTAAATTAGTGGTCCAAGTCAGCAATCCTTAAGGTTTCGGTGTTGATTATTTATTTTTTTTGAGTTGTTGATTCAACTGTATGAGCATTGGGGTGGATTTAGTGTGTGTGGTGCCATGGTACTGCATTGTGTCATGGTGACAAGTGTTCCTATTAGTTTGTCCATGATATACAGGAAATGATGGCTTGGTTATGTAAAGCAAAGTAAAACATTCATTTTTGAGTTACCAGCATTATTTTTCTCATTGGCTATGAGTTGTAGATAGCAAGCCAGCATAAATGTTACACTAGTTACTAGCAAGTGTTACAAAACATGTGTTTTTAATTCAGTTATATTAGTCTTTTATAATCATTAGTAAACTATACATTTCATGTAAGGAGGGCTTATTTGTATAGCTTATTTAAAACAGATTAATCTAAGGCCTCCATGTGGCAAAGAAACTGATAAGAACAACATTTAAAAACATACACAGGAAATAAAACACATTTTAAGATTACATCATGAAATAAAAAACAACTATAAATATAGTCATAATAAAAGGAAATAAATCTGTTTAGATATAAAACTATATTTGATCATATTTAATCAGTTCCTCCCTTCAAGTGATGGGTTCATACCGTATATGAGCACAGGAGTCTCTGCCAAAGTTAGTAAGAAGAGCTTTGGTTATTATACATGAGAGATTTCTGCATTGTTGCTTATCTCTGTGTTCTTGTCACTGGTGAAGAAAAAAAGTGGAAATGAAGATTAACAAACGTTTTTGTTCAGTAAATTTATTTGAGACATTTTTCACTTTTTATCACCCATCAGTCGATTGATATTTGCTCCAGTTTTCTTTTTTGTCCACCAATGTGAGAGGTAACTGGAGCACAGACCCTCCCATTTAAGTCCTTGTCTTTATTGTTGCTGTCAGTGGTGCTCATTGACTAAAGCTGTAGAAACCTTACTCTCTACTTCATATAGTTGCCTTTGTTCAGCAGTTACTTCTTCTACTGTGATGTGGCCTTGATATTAATTTGGAAAATGTAAAGAAATCCACGATGTTTACGTACACATATACTGAGAAAGAATCTTATAATAGCTCAATAATAGACTGAGCTGTACCCCCTGCATGCATCACAACAGGGATACAGTACATTGGTAAAAATGGTGAAAAATACATTAGAGATACTAAATGGACTGTATGTAATGTGCACATCTCAGTCATCCTGGAATTATATGTCAGTCAAAGAGCGAAATTTCAGCAGCCTGTTTCATCCTCCATCTGACAGAACAGATGTAGTTTGAAATGTTTTAGTCAGACGGTGATTGTTTATTTTACAGATCTGCTATTTTCTAATCACATCATTAAAGTTTCCCATTAATAACATAATTTGCAGCTAATTACAGGTTAACATTGTGACAAAATTATATTTGTCATGTTGAGTTGAAGGCATTTGTTGTTTTATAT